TGCCAGCGCTGATGGCCACTCCATTCTAATAGAAGGTTATGGGTCCGGAGAGCACAGCTGCCAGTGGTGGCTCGTGGTCCGGCGGAGGCGGCGGCGGTGGGGTCGCAGGCGACGGTGTCCCCGCCCTCGCCGTGCCGCAAATACCAAAGGTGGAGGGAGGGAGGCTCCGGCTGCGAGGGGGCATCCGAGCGAAGAGCAAGGCGGCGCGGGGGAGGGGGGGAGGAGGGAGAGGCGTCTGGGAAGTCCGTGGCGCACAGTGGGGCCGAAGCTCTGCGCATTCGCAAGTTACGACGAACGCAGTTAGCAAACCTGTAGCCCACACGTGGAGTCCACTTACCACAGTTAGAAGTAGCATTTACACATGTATTGTGTATGTGCGAATAGATCTAATATTTAAGTTAATTACGATACCATTTACACCTTCATTAATTATATTCAAGAAGGCTTAATAGAATCATACTTAACGTAAAATAGTACCATTTTCAAGGTCTAAATAGTATTATTCATTTTACTCATCATGAAAAGCAATGTAATGTTGAACAACGAGAGAAAAATTATATAAAATTGTTGAAATGGAAATACATGAAAAACTTCAATAAAAATGAACTGACAAGTCTCGAGTATTAAAAAAATCCCATTGTATATTTATAACAGTTTATTGTACTTGGACGAAACAAAAAATTAGAGCAGTTAATAGTTTCTTACTAGTTCATATGGTAAATTAATAAAAATGAGCATGTCTTTTAATACTATTTTATTGCAATCATTCACTCTTCTTCAAAGGAAGTTACGTTGTACATGTTATTAATAATGTCTTACAATAATAAATATACATATTAAGCAATATTATTAATACAATTTTAAAACCGTTTTGTAAATTCTAATAAAATATAGCAAACAAAAATTATTGAATGGTGACTTATACTTTGAAGTAGTATTAAATAATGATTAAAACATGTTAACTTTATTAACGAAGCGTTCCAATGGACAGAAATACAACAAAATGTACAAATATTCCTAACTTCCATGCACTGTGGATATTTAGATTCTTCAATATTATCTGAGCTACTCATGAAATGTATAACAATACAAAACATTTCATTTCAGGTTGCATAAAAATTTACAATCTTTATTTTTTTTCGTACATGAATCATATTTTTTTATTTGTGTATGTGCACACACGAAAATTTACTATTCGATCTCTTGAACTTTATGGCATATCCTCAGCACAATGTTTGTTGCTGCAGGTCACATGTAGCTTTCATTAAATGCCATTGCGTTTTTTAAAACTATTTTTGTGCCCTTCTTTAGTCCATTTCGTGCCTGTGTTCGCTGTGGTGCACGACACCTGGTTGGTGGTCACTTACAACCACGTCTCGTAGTGAAACGACCGTGTAGTCGCCGCCTCCATTTTCTGCGGTCGTTTTCAACCAAATCTTCACATTTTGAGCCACTACATTTTTCGAATTTCCCATAATTGAATACCGACACTGAATGTGATCAGAAGAAGGTGGGGCAGATACATATACGTATCTCCAGATGAGAGTGAGTTCGAAACTTAGACGATGGAAGTATACGATTATATTGTCATCGAAGATGATTAAATCAGGAATGTGTATTAGGGAATACATCATTAGGGAATATTTTTATAGGAGTCAGATATACTAAGAATAATATCAGGGGCGGGAATAAAATCTTAATGGCGAAATAGTTAAGCCTAGCTCATGCCCAACTTATCTATTGCACACGCGTTAGTGCTCAATATAACAGATGTTTAAAAGTTTTCAAATTAAACATTTATGCACTTTATCGTTTTTAGAAGGATATTTGTAACTTCCCCTTTTTCAAAACGAGCCATGACGCATATGAAAACGGTGATAGTGTTTGCTGTAGACATTTGATAGCGGAAACTGTAAACGTTATTCCTCAATTGGAACAGTTATGCTACAAAATTAATTTACAAATACAGCATTTATTGCTTCATGCTCTTACAAGCTATACTCATAATGGAACATTTTATGGATCACACTTCATATACTAACCTCACGTCGGCTTGTATTGGTTCCTCACGATACAAGGCAGATGAGTAAGTAACCTACTCATTACTGGAATGTATTCCGTGATATAAGGATGGAATCAATTCACGTTACTATTATCTGCAGCACATATGTCTACTTAATTTAAAAAATGAGCCATTATACAATTTTACATTATTTTTATCTTCAATTTCTTTTTATTCAAACTTTTGGCAAATTTACATTCTTTCGGCACTTACTAGAAAAGAGTGTGACCTTACACAGATTATTTATATACCATTTATATAAATTATTCAGGTTTCTCCTTATAAGTTACTTAAATGCTCAAATAGTACATGTGTAACAGATACTTTATACACAAATTAAAAATACAAAAACAACTTCTTGAACGTAATAAATACGCAATACATTAACAAACTAATAGGACATTGACAATCTGCATGAAAAGTCTAAATAGTGATGTTATTCAAGTCGTCTGATAGCTTCACTAATGTCTGGTAAGTTGATAGCGAGTATATTGAGGATGTTTATTTACTCTTAGGAGGTATATCTGTTATTATTACTTCTATATCTGTATGTCCTTGTGAAACATAATTAATTACGTACCCATCACTCACAAAGTTTTCATAACTTTTAATTGAAGCATCGTAGTATTTCAATGTTGAATGTTTGTTATACAAGTACGCCTGATGACCAGATTGGTTTTAATAGAAAATTATAAGCAATCAATTTGTATTTTGATGCTTTCATATTATTTCCAATCCATTAACCAGTTTAAATACGTTTTAGGTCTATTTTTTTTTATTTTTGATGTCATTTTTTCAAATTAATCTTCTGTCTAGACTTATAAGTCCAAGATATTTGGCCGAATTCTTTTCAAGAATGTATTGCAATCAGAATACTACACTAGATGGGCATCTTTCATACTTTCGGCAGAAGATGACCTGAATAGACTTTTTTAATTAATCTTGAGACGCCAGAGTTTATGCTTTTTGTTAATTAATTCCAGATGTACTTCTACTAGACGAGATGATTGTATTACATCTTCATGTCGCACTAAATAGTTGTGTCATTCGGGTTATATTGCTGTCAATACATGTTTTAAACGTGAGTAAAGGTAAGATGTAGCATTCACCCTGATGCAATAACGAATTCATAGCGATCATTTTTGAAATATCTCCATTAAATTTTACTTGAAGACGTCTCTTAGTGAGGCAAGATTTTAATAAACAATATTTTCGATCTGAACATTTTTTTCTGAATTTTTTACTACAGTCCGTACTTAATTAAACGTCTTCCTTACGTCAAGAATTACAGCTGAGCAATATTCTTAATTTTCAAGCGATTCACTAATTTATTTTACAATTCGGTGATTTTTTTATGTAGTTGAATATTGTTGTTTAAACGCAAACTGCGGTTGAGGTATTTTTTGCTGTTCGATGAGAAATATCTTCAAACGTAAAAGAAATAGTTTTTCAAGAACTTTGGATAATACCGGCAGTAAGATAATGAGTCTGTATTATTCAACTTCGTACATTGGTTTTCTAGGTTTGGGGATGACTCTTGGATCTAGTTTCCATTGTATGGGAAAAATGACCTAGTCTCAAGATGGCATTGAAGGTGGAAGTAACTAGA